GACAGAGACAGAGAGAGAGAGAGAGAGAGAGAGAGAGAGAGAGAGAGTGAGTGAGGGAGGGTGATGGTGAGGGATGCAGGGTTGGGGGAGGGGGAGAAAACGCGGGTAGTTCAACGCTACGGGGGTCCTTTTGCCGAGGCTTATGTACTACTTCACCGTTAATCCTTCGTACCTTATTCCAGTACCTTGCTGAAGGATGAAGAAAAAACACAGGCCAGGCTGATCTCTATACACAGTTAGTAAACGTTGGATAGAAAGGGAGAGGCGGACGGATCGTTTGAAAGAGCAAGGGCGGGGAGGTGGGAAGGCGAAAAGAGAATGAGCAAAAGTTGACTACCACCTTTATTAAATGGCATTTTGATGGCGACGGAGACGCAAAAGCCCCTGGAGTGACGACGGTAGCGGATACGCTCGTTATACGGTCGACATCTGATTTGTAGAAATAAACAAAACTATGTAATAATTGCAATCGTAAACATAAATTGGCCTTTCTTATAATGATCTTAGCCAGTTAGACGTTACAGCTCACGTTAAAGCTCGAAGGCGGAACCACCGAGGAATATTACCTAATAATAATGTAGCTATCTCTCGGCTTCCCTCCCCTCCCTCCCCCTCTCCCTCAACGCTCAACAAAGACTCGACGGTCGATGAAAGTTTTCCATCCGAAAATCGAATGTCCGACCCGACAATCTACTGTTCATCGATGCCAACGCGTTAGTCGATCGAAGTGTCGGCGGCCATGCGACAATTGTCCAGATTAACAGGTAGTCCCAAGTTTACGGGAAACAAAATAGAAAAAATAAATGTTGAAGAAAATAAAAGTATCGTGAACCATTGATGAAGCTTAGGGGCGTTGCAAATTCAAACGAAGAAGCGAAGGTCGAGCGATATATCGCCATGTAAAAATTTATCTAAACGTTTTGTTACTCGTCCCCCTTCTGGCCCTCTTTTTGGGGTGGAGATCTTACCTGACCGCTCAAAGTTTAAGTAAAGGTCTCCTTTCCCTCTCCCACTCCCTCTCCCACTCCCTATCCTTCTCCTTCTTCGTCTACCTATCTTTCTCTTCTTTCTTCCCTCAGCGTTTGCGCGACACCGCCATCGTCGAGGCTCGGGAATGCGAGAGCGGCAAGTTGCGCCGCTACGGCCTTCCCAGGAAATGCGGTTGTGCCCGTTGGGTTGACTCGACACCCCATTCAGATTCGCGTTTGTTGCGAGAGAGTGAAGGGAAAGCGATCGAATGCGCCCGGCGACTCTTAAAGAGAGAGAGAGAGAGAGAGAGAGAGATAGAGAGAGAGAGAGAGAGAGAGAGAGAGAAATAAAATGAGTATTGCAATTGCGGCTGAATTGAGACAAGTTAATAGGGCATTATCATCTTGTTCCTTCGTCTAAATTCTTAACTTTCGAATTACACTGGCTTTCGATTCTTATCTCCCTCTCCACTCTTCACATCTCCCTCACTCTCTATAGCTCCTCCCCCTCCTGCGCGCCCCTACCTATACCCGGACGCTCAACCGCGCGGCTTTCGCAATTCGCTTCTCTTGCATCCGAGATGGAGTTGGCCGTTACTTTTTTCTCCTATTTCATTTGAATGGTTGTCGAAGCAGAGCTTGCACATTAGTAGCTTAATTTGGCGTTAGGACGAACGCATAGCGACGAGGGCACAATGAGCAACATTATAAGTCGTTATTACTGTTGTTCAGGAGTATTGTCGTCGAGATTGTGCTTGCAGTAGTTTTACGAGCTCGTCCGCGGTAACGAAATAGAAAAGCCCTGGTTCTAATGTAAATTTGTATGATGACGAGGACGACGACAATCACTAAGACAAATTACGAATACTAGGGAAAAGTAAAATTTATCGACAGAGACGCACAAATTAAACCTCCCAGTCCGACGTTCGATGATCGGTGAAGTAATGGCCTGGGGATTAATTGCCCCCCCCCTCTCCCCTCGCCGCTCCCTATTTCACGCATCCCACGCTTTCGGACGTGTCCGCAGCGGCCGCACGCGTCAAAATAATAATCGCCCGACGACGCTACCGCCCGGCAAAGTAGCATATCATCCAAGCGGCACCATAAAATTTAATTCCCACTGACGGCCGATAACATGAAACGAGGTGTCGACGAGGAGAAGGGGGGAAAGTTCTGCTCGAGCCGCGCGAAACGTTGCCGTGGCGAGCCGCGTGACGAGCTTTTGCCTCGACACGGCAATGAAGCGTCGTCGCGTCGTCGCGTCGTCGAGAACAAGAGTCCGTGAGCGGCGGGGTGGGGGAAAGGCGAGAACGAGGCGAAAGAGAGCGACATAAAAATAAAAAAGAAAAAAAAATGAAGCACGCACGCACGCAAGCACTCGTGCAAGCGTACGTACGTGTGGACGGACGCACGACGCACCAAGCGAGCAGCGAAGAAAGCAAGAGAGAGAGAGAGACAGAGAGAGAGAGAGAGAGAGAGAGAGATTGAACGAGCGAGTGTGCGTGCGTAAGGCAGGAACCGAGGGGTCAGAGTCGCAGCGGCGAACCAACAAAGATAGACTGATATATAAAGATAGAGAGATAGAGTGTGCCTGTGCCTGTGTGCGCGCGTGTGCGTGTTCGTATGCGTGCGTGCGCGTGTGTGTGTGTGTGTGTGTGAGAGAGAGAGAGAGAGTGCGTGAGCGTTTGCTTTTGCGTGTGTATGTGGCGTGTGCTGGAGCGAGAGGGAGGGAGCAAGCAACGCGGCGCCCAGTCCGAAAAGTCGCCATCTGTCTCTCGAGGCGTTGTATTTCATTTGAGCGCGCGCGCTCGTGCGTGCCTGCGTGCATGCGCATGTGCGTACGTGTGCGTGCGGGTCGCCGGTGTTGGTGGTAAGCAGCCGTAAGAAGGCCGTGTTTCGCTTCTCGTTTGCAGATGGACTGTGTCGCGTGGAGCGGGAACATCCACTAGTGGGCCCGGACGGACGTCGTCTGCTCGGTTAGCTGGAAAGAGCCCGGGGCTTCCGAATCAGTCCGAGCAGGAAGGAGAAGGAGGAGGCAGAGGCAAAGGCATCCTCGGCGCTATTTCTCCGGAGTGAGTGGCGGTCAGTTGGCAGGCAAGCAAGCAAGCAAGCGGCCAGAGACAGGCGACCCGACGTCGTCGGCCAGGAGGAGGAGGAGGCGGTGGCGGCGAGTCACAGACTGGCAACGTAGCAGTGCGGCTCGCAGCGGCGGGGGCGTAGAGGGCCCGAGGAGGCCCGGAGCCGATCATTGCCGCGCACGGCGATGGTGGCAGCTGCCACTGCCACTGTCAGCGCCACTGCTGCTAGCGTTAGCATGGTGGCAATGCAGGACCGCCAGGACGTATCCTCGCAGTTCAATCACCAGGTATATATCATTGCCCCGTTCCTCTGTCCTCTTTTGCGTCGGACTCTGTGCCTTGTACTCGTTAACGCGGCGCGAACGCTCGCGCGTACCCCATACCTGGATTCAGATTGACGGAGAGCGCGATAGAGAAAGAGACAGTGCGTGTTTATGTGTGAAAGAGAGAGAGAGAGAGAGAGAGAGAGAGAGAGAGTGAGTGAGAGTGGGAGAGATAAAGAGAGATAAAGACGAGTACGTTCAAGAGCAGTCGCCGCGAATCGGCGGGACGCTCTCGAAATTTCTCCCGAGTGAAAAACTCCGACGCTGAAGTATTTTCACGAGATTTTAGCTTTATTTATAGAGCAATCACTATGCACAAGAAATTTAGAGAGCGCGCCGAGTTTGCTACTGTGTCAAATTAATTTTGAACGTCATCGGTCGCGCGCACGCGCGATCTCGCAAAACTTTCTTTGGGATTCGGACCGAGCGTGTAGGACTCTTTCGTTCCCACGGGATTCAATTAAGGACGAGTTCGTACGTGCGTGCGCGAGTGTGAGTGAGTGAGTGAGTGAGTGAGTGAGTGAGTGAGTGAGTGAGTGAGCGATTGTGCGTGCGTGCGCGCGCGCAAGCCTGCCAGTGTATGTGCGTGCCTTCACAGGTAATTTGTTCACATTTAGGCCCTCCTAGTGGCAAGAAGATTCGAAAAGCAATTTTGTGTTTGCGGCTTTATGACGCTAATGGGCAAAATATTTCTCTCCTTTTTCCTTTACAGGAAAATTCATGTCAAGCCGTGTCGACAGCTCGAAAACAATCGTTCTCACGAGCTACATTCAAATCTTCCGTTTTACGAGCATTACCCTCCCTCCCTCCCTCCCCCCCCCCTTTAAACATTCCCCGCCATCCCCACTCCTCAGACACGCACACGCATACACATTTCCCTTCATTTACCCGTCATCCCGTTTTCGACAATTTTTAAATCGGCTACTTTCTAAGATCATTCTCACGCACGAGAGCAAGTGCTTTGTGGATTAAGCATGTGTAAGGTTAAATAATTGTACATCTCCCTTTATAAAATTGAAGTTGATAGAGGATGATAATCGCTGATTTTTCTAGTTATTCTGTTTTAATTTGTTGACTTTTGAAAATCTTTTGTATTGCTGTTGATAGTAGCGTTAATTTTTTTTTGCTGGGGGCGGCGGCGGCGGCGGCGTGGAAGGGCGGGGGGGGGGGGGAACTAAAGAATGATATCGAGAAGACGTAACTGATAGATATTTGATATAAATATATAAATATGAATTTTATTAATATTCGGTATTTGAGGCGCGGCGAAGCGCTTTCGGTTGACCCACGTATTTTGCATTTGCGCTCGGCCAGGGCTTATCCGACATTATTAATGCCTTCTTAGGGAGTCGGATGCCTCAATTATCGGTGATCAGTCGGTCTGGCTGATAACAGCTTGGACGTTCCATGTTGTTCCTTTGGGAATCGTTATTACTTTTAGAGCTTTGCAAAATACGATAAGTAACGTATAAAATACTTGTTAAACCTGTTAATCGCGGAGTCATAAAATGAAAATTAAAAATTAAAAAAAAAAAACAAAAACAAAAAAACAAAAGAAAAGAAGGGAAAATATAATGGAGAATGGCAATTGATATATTATTAAAGTGGAATTAACATTATTAACTGATAATTAACATTATTCGACTAATGTTAATAATAAATTTATCATCGTTGTTTAAGGGCCGAATGAATGTGCAAGACGACAGCGCAACAATAACCGAATCAGATAATTTCTAATATAATCAAATCAATATTTTTTTATTAAGTTACGACGATAAACCGCCAATGAATTGCGATTAAAAGTATATTAAAAATAAATCAATCAAAGTAATTGAGTTTAGAAATAAAGAGAAGCCGATAACCAAACCATATCGCCTTTGCGTAACGTTACAGATGCAAAGTCAGCACGCAATGGCACACCAGACGTACAACGCCATGGGTTACAACCAACGGAGCCCAATGACAGGCATGGCCCCGATGGGCATGAACAACTACGGGAGTATGGGCTCGGTCGGGCCCATGATGTCATCCATGAATTCCATGAATTCGATGAGCGGCATGAGCAACGTCAACCCAATGAATCACATGATGATGGGCGGCGGCGTGAGCAACATGAGCGGAATGGCGGGGATGTCGCCTATGAACCCCATGGGCAACATGAACAATGTCGGATTGATGAACAGTGCAATGAATTCGGCTGGAGTGCCCATAAACAAGATGAGCATGCAGGTGAGCTCGCGTCTCTTTTCTCTCTTCGATATTAGTGTCAGCGGGTCTGGCACACGCCGCTCGCCAACTCGTGCAACCAAGGAAAATAGCTTTCTATAATTGACCCGCACACGTGAATATTTGCTCGACGATTAATAGCCGACCTCCCGTGTTCGCTTAACCACCACCCACCCACTCAGCCGCCACAAATATTTCCCCTCTCTCTCTCTCTCTCTCTCTCCCTCCCTCCCTCCCTCCCTCGCTCTCGAGCGTCGTATAAGTTACGACAGCCAGAGATTTCGAAGCACTTTTGCGTTGGATCGCGAAAGGAAGACGGCGGCGACGACTTCGATTGGCCAGCTCGTTACGGCAATTATTCGACGCTCGGCCGATCGGTAGAGAATTTTCTTGACGCGTGCTACGGCTCCCCCCCCCTCTTCCCCTTCCCCTTCCCCTTCCCCCCTCCCTCGCCATCTCTCGCCACGAATCTCACAACCAAGACCGTACTAAGCCATGGAGAATCGAGAAGGGCGTCTATCTTCAGCCGATAACATTCACTGACGATCAATGATCTCTAAAAATCTCTAAAAATCTACTTCACGCGCCTACCTTCTTACATTATATATTTCTCTTCACCTAGGAGTCTTAAGTAAATACGTCGTACCACCTCTATACGGGCCGCCTCTGCGAACATACACTATCCTAAAATCCTAAAGCAAATAATTTATTCGAGAAATTTTGAGTACGCGTATCTACTGGTTAACCTGGTTATTCGACAATCCTGTGAATTTCGGTTAGTAATACAAAAAGGCTAGCGCCAAGCTAATGCATGTTAATAAAGAATTCAGGCTAAATTTTTAATTCGTTTGGGCGACGCGTGCTGTGGTGGGGACCGGTGACCGGTCGGTGGGGTTGGGAACTGGGGAGTAGGAGTCAGGTGAGCGGAGTGGCTAATTATAACCAATTAATCAAATTAATAACCGCAAAGCTACTGAAAAACTGGCGGGTTAGGTATTTTCAAGGTAAGTCGCTAACTCGACGAATAATGCCTCTCGAGCACTTGTGCCGCGTATTTTCAGGCATTTACGCAGCAACTCGTTATTTCGATAAATAATATATTCCTACTCGTCTAATTTTATCCTCAAGGTTTAATTTCGTCGTAGTTGCGGCGCTAAGATCCTATATGTCATATGTCATATTCATGAATTCGAACATCGTAAGGAAAATTAATAAAGCAATTTTAATATGGTAGGCTTTTAATAGGTAGGAGCAATGCTCGCATTTCACGAATCTTTTTTTAAAAACAAATTTACCTTCCTTACGTTTTATAACGTCTAGCGAAAGCTAAAAATTCATTTGAAACTAACGATCTATTAACAATGACTTTTTGCACTTTATCGCCGAAGGATGTGAAAGTCTTTTGATAAATGCAACGTTTTAACGATTGAACATTTAGCATTTGACCCACATAATTTAAGTTGCATAAAATGGCTTAGCAGTAAAGTTGTGCGTTCGGTAATCTGCCAAAGTTAAAGCTTACTTTAGGAAATCATAATAACTCTAATTACAATCCGCGGTTAATTATAAATCAATGTGGTATCGATGCACGGGGATAATGTAAGAAGTTGCCTTTACCGACCGGGGACTTTAACAATCCAATGTCGACTCGCATTTGGAGCGCAACCGTTCCGAGTCTCGCGGAACGAGGGGGAAACCGTGGTAGATAAGATTATAAAGGCCGCCGTAACCGCGAATGACGAAAATGCGAGAGAGAAAAACTGTTTACTTTGCAGCAGCAACAGACGCAGCAAGCGTATGCGAGGCGAATGGTTCCCTACCCGAACCCAGCGATGCACGTCACGCAGAAGAGGATGCAGCAGGCCCAGCAGCAACACGTTCCTTACGGTGCCGGGGCCCCGACAACGGCCATGCAACACGGCGGCTACGGTGGCATGACCTCGGGTCAGCAGTACCCGGGTGGCTACGGCAGCGCGGCAGTCGCGAGGCCCAACGCATTCCAAGCCCAACAGCAACAGCAATTGCAACAGCAGCAGCTTCAACAGCAGCAACAGCAGCAACAACAACAGCAGCAACAACAGCAACAACAACAACAACAACAACAACAACAGCAGCAGCAGCAGCAGCAGCAGCAGTACCAGCAGCATCAAGCCTCGATGCAGCAACAGATGAACCCGGCGGCCATGTCAGCGACTGGCTACCCGACGTCGGCGACGACGGCGATGATGCGCGGTGCCAGGCAACAGCAGCAGCAACAGCAGCAGCAGCAACAGGCAATGGCACCGAGCTACGGTGGCGTACCCAGCCAGGCTAGTCAGTACTACAGTAGTCAGACCTCGGCGGTTGGACCCGCGGGCGGTGGCGTCAACGTCATGCACCCGCACCCGCACCATCATCAGCAACAGCAGCCTGGTGTAGGCGTGGGCGTGGGAGTTGGCGTTGGCGTTGGCGTTGGTGTAGGCGTAGGCGTGCCTCAGGGTAATCCTAACGCGATGGTCGCTGCCCAATATCATCCTGGACATCAGCAGCAGCAACAGCAACAGCAGCAACAGCAACAGCAGCCCCAGCCCGTTAATTCCGGGGTCTATGGCCAGGCAGCAACGGCTTACGGGGTCAGCAACGGCCAGTACCAGCAGGACGGCTCCCCCATGAGGTCGGCCGCCGCGGTTCAGGGTACCGGCAATATGAGCTATCAGCACAGTCCCATACCCGGGAACCCGACGCCGCCGCTTACCCCGGCCTCCAATATACCGCCTTACGTCAGTCCCAATGCGGACGGTAAGCACGGCTTCAACGACATCAAACCCATGATTCCAAGTGAGTTGGCAACTCTGCAAGGGCATAGGGATGGGCGCCGATGTTCTCTCGGGGCTGATAAACCTCCGGGGCTCGAGAGGGCGGGTCGTCCGGGAAGCGTGACCGTACGATGTCGAGGAACGGCGGGCGTGCGCGCCCGCATTCACTCACTCACTCACTTACTCTTCTAAGATGGATAAGCCTCGGGCCGTAAATCATATTTTTGTGTCGTGGGTTCGTTGTATTAGGACCGAGGCGGCGAGGATTCGCGTCGGGTTTTTAGGCACTTTATGGCGCTGAAGCGCAGGACGACTTTTTCCCGCTACCTGATGACAATAGCCCGGAAATTTTTGACGCCGGACATCTCGGCCCTCCGGGAGACAAATACCGTGGCCGGCGGTCTTCCGACGGCTTAAATCTATGGCCTTTGCTTGGGCGGAATATTTTTCGGCTCCTCGCGGCTGTGTTTAACGATTCGGTCGCACGTGACATCCTCGCTTCTATACAATTTTGACGGCTCTGGATTTTCACGTTGGCTCTCGTTCGTCAAGGCTGCTTTCTAAATTCGTTTTAAGAAGCGTAATGGCACGACAAATTTCTTTAAGGGCTTCTTTCTTTCTTATTTTTATAACTTAAATACGATTGGCGCTCCAGTGCTTAGCGGCGTCTAATGAGTCGGGAGCGATTAGAGGAGAGATTCGTGTCGTCCGCTCGGCGAGTGCGATTCAAAATAAAAAAAAAAAAATAAAAAAAAAGACCCCGACGTTATTCTATAAGAACGACGAAGAAAAGTAAAAGAAGAAGGGAAATAGTAAAAAGATAAAAGAATGAAGAAAAAGAAATAAAAAAGATTGTTGGAGCATTTTGAGGAATTTTATTTTTACCCGTTATTTATGGCGTGGCTGCTGCGCTATACGATACATAAGCCTGAGTGGCCCGAGCATCGTGCATGAATAACAATGGGGGCAAAGCCGGTAGCTATAGCGCTCGTAATTAAAAGTTCCCTTACTGCCGCGCAATAATAACTTTCCGGACTTTATTTTGCAGAAGAGGAAGAATTGAGATTAACATTCCCCGTGAGAGACGGCATAATCCTTCCCCCCTTCCGTTTGGAGCACAACCTGGCTGTGAGCAACCACGTATTCCAACTGAAGCCCACCGTACACCAGACGCTAATGTGGCGGCCGGACCTCGAGCTGCAGCTCAAATGCTTCAACCATCAGGACAGACAAATGAGCACGAATTGGCCGCTGAGTGTCCAAATATCGGTTAATGCGACGCCTCTCGTCATTGACAGGGGTGAGGACAAGTCGTCCCACAAGCCCCTCTATCTCAAGGACATCTGCCAAGCCGGTCGTAACACCATACAGATCACAGTGTCGGCCTGCTGCTGCGTGAGTATATACAAAATCAGCGGAACTCTTTAACGACCTGCCTACTGCCGATCCCCTGTTTATCGATTCACCTGTACATTACTCGGGCGGCATTTCCCTGCCCGAGAACGGCTCTTAAAACTTTGTCCCTGAACCACGCGGCGGGGGGGAAGCGGTGGTTGCCGAGAAAAGACTGCCCCGTGGCGGGGGGGGGGAGGATTTACACGTGCCTGGTTATCCGGCTTTCGTTTCGCCAAACTGTCATCGGACGTGGGAGGGAAAATCGGAAAAGCGTTTATTAACGCACGATTCATATTATGCTTGCTAGAAGGCGCGCACCTCGCGATACTACGCACCGTCCGTTTAAACGGAAACTGAATATTCTATTATAATTCAAGCGATTAACGTCGGGTTATTATGCTTGCCAGTTGAAAACGTACGAAAGCTATTAGAAAACCAATCAATTTTGAATGGGAAAGTGCGTGCGCGCGTGGATGAAGCGACCGCGGGGCGGGCGAGGCGGGAGGACGGGTAGGGGGGAGAGAGAGAGAGAGAGAGAGAGAGAAGTACCGCCTATAAAAATGAGTGTCTTTGTTTCGTTCTCGACAAAAGCACCAGCCATAAAAACGATAAACACGCGTCTCTTTACGACCTAGTAATGGCAAAAGCATTAATAAAAGAATAATCCGGAGTAATTTCTATTTGCTTTTACAGTCGCACCTATTCGTCCTACAATTGGTCCATCGGCCGAGCGTGCAAAGCGTATTGCAGGGACTATTGCGCAAACGGCTTCTCACCGCCGAGCATGGCGTAACGAAGATAAAGAGAAATTTCAACAATACCCTGCCCAGCAACGGGATTCCGACGGAGAAGGACGTTGTCGAGCAGACGTCGATAAAGGTGATAATCATTTTTTGGACGCCAATAATGCCAATGTGTATGCTTCGCATTGCCCCATGCCAATTTACTCGCGCACAGTGCGACTTTAATTCGAGATAAAATTCTTTCAGGTGTCACTTAAATGTCCTATAACGTTCAAACGAATTACACTGCCGGCAAGAGGTCAAGATTGTAAGCACATACAGTGCTTCGATCTCGAGTCATATTTGCAACTCAATTGCGAGCGAGGAAATTGGAAGTGTCCAGTGTGCAGGTAAAAATAGTCTCGACCTTTGAAATTCATAAGCTTTTTCAATGCAATCGGACGAACGTTAAAGCGCGTTTAAATTAAAAGTCTTCTTTCGCCTCGACGATTTAAGAGAATTTAAATGTAATTTAATTAGCAAAAGCTTTTGAGGAGAGCGTTGATCGTTCAAAGTTCGAAAACCGTTGTAAACTTTGAAACAAGCGTGATTTTATAGTCCTACATAAGCTAATAATAATAATAATAATAATAATCGAACATTGTCATTGATAATAGTAAACCAGCTCAACTGGAAGGTCTTGAGGTCGATCAGTATATGTGGGGTATCCTGAACAATACGAACTCGCCGGACGTAGAGGAGGTAACGATAGACTCGTCGGCCAATTGGAAACCGAAGAAGAACGAGGACGACACCGAGTGCAAGAGAATGACGAAGGCCATGTCGCCGGGCAGCATGAACATGCCGACGATGAATAGTTGGATGGACGCGAATCAAGCGATGAGTCCTTACATGCCACCCGACATGAACAGCATCGTCAGTGGCTCAATGATGAACGGCTCGACATCGCAACAGCAGCAGCAGCAACAACAACAGCAACAACAACAGCAACAGCAGCAACAACAACAACAGCAGCAGCAGCAGCAGCAGCAGCAGCAGGCGTATGGTAACCAGGGACCGGCTGGCCATCGGAACCCTGGTACACCTTCCTCGACGTCTGTCTCACAAGCGAATAACGTGAACTCCTCGAGTATGGCCGGCACAGGGATTGGCAATCCCGGAGACATGTCGATGAGCGGTAATTCTGGACAAAACGATTATTCGGGAACGGGGCCGCTCTCGCACCTCAACGACCATACCAATTCGCTGGATCACTTGAATGCCATCGACAAATCATTGGGAGATCAGGTAAATAGATACCGTTTCAACTCTTTTCCAAATAATTCACAATACGATCGTCGGTATTAGGATTCCATTCACATACCTCTATTTATATTTATGTTTTTAGTCATTTCAATTATTTAAGCACAAGTATTGTGATTACATCGAAATATAAGGATTTTATAATTGGAGCGATCCGCGAGAGAGGGGGGGGGGGGGTGCGCAGGATGTGTGGATATGGACGACGAATATTTAAAGGACATTATGAAATAGCGGCTAAAAGCTTGCCGTTGAATAATTTATCCTATTGATCATTCGATTGAGTCTCAATGATTATTTAGTGCATCAAATAATACTTTACAACCACATTTATAATTGCATTGTTTTGAGAAGGAGGAAAGGAATAATATCCTTATGCTATCGAATACGTAATTTATGCAATATCGACGGGCCGTACTTCGTGAATAATAAGGAGCGTTGATTTTCCATCCACTGGTTGAATAATGCTGAAAATGTCGAGAATCTATCGCGAGGGGCTTACGTGCCTACAGATCTCATCCTATTTATATCGGCGCGAATGCTTGGCCCGCCAAAATAAACCAAAGATCAAAAAGAAGGTCCAATAACTAAAGTAGGTTTATTAGAAATATTATCGAATATAATGCACGCGTTGCCCGAGTCGAAAATAACCGAGATTAATAATAGGCTAGGCGAGTGTGCTTACGGGGATGAGTGAAAGGGAATGAGAGAAGGTGGATCTGGTGGCGATGGTAGCGGCGGTGGTGGTGGTGGTGGTGGCGGTGGTGGTGATGGTAGTAGCAGCGGCGGTGGTAGTGGTGCTGCTGCTGCTGTTACTGTTGCTGTTGCTGTTGCTGTTGCTGTTGCTGTTGCCGTTGCCGTTGCCGTTGCTGTTGCTGTTGCTGTTGCTACCGCTGCTTCTATCGCTGCATCTTCAGCTGCTGTTGGAGATGGTGGTGGTGGTGGTAGTGTGGTGGTGGTGGTGGTGATGATGATGATGATGATGATGATGATGATGATGATGATGGTGCTAGTTGTGGTAGTAGTGCAGGTGAAGGTGTTGGTGGAGGAGGGGTTTTTCTAAAATTGTTGCTGGCGTTCTCTATTATGATGATGATGATGATGATGATGATGGTGCTAGTTGTGGTAGTAGTGCAGGTGAAGGTGTTGGTGGAGGAGGGGTTTTTCTAAAATTGTTGCTGGCGTTCTCTTGCAGATGCCCCACACGCCACATACGCCGGGCGGCGGTGGCAGCGGCGGCGGCGGAAATAGCGGCCCTCCGAGCGTTGCGCCCTCCGTATCCCAAGACACGAGCGGCAACAATCTCAACACGTCGACAGGCAGCGGTGTGCCGGGCGTTGCGGACACCTCCGACATCATATCCTCCGACTTGAACTTCGACCCCGCGGCCGTCATCGACGGTGACGCCGGCCAAGAGGCGCTCAACGTAAGTCATTGCGCTTAGCTGATCCTCGCCTAGGTCGCTTAAAATCGATTATGCTCCTTTCGCTTGCTCTTGCCCGCGCTACCGATTGCAACTCTTCCTTCCGCCACCCATTATCCATTACCTTCAATCCCGGTGGCGGCTCACCTTGACTTTTAACTTTTTATTCATTTGCACCCCGTAAGAGCTCGTACTCGCTCTTATCGCTATATATCTGCTCGCCCAATTATTCTTACCCTTAAAGTTGAAAGTCGCATGGCAATGGGTATCGATTGTTCGTAATACTCACGATGAAAAGCATAGCGATTTGAGGCAGTCGCTCGAAATTAGATGTCAGCTTGATTTTTTACCTTAGGACGTATTGTGAGGATTATCCTTACAAGTAGGCGCGTGTGTGTGCATGGGGTTATAGCATTATGGGAAGGAAAGGGAGATGTTGCGTTCGCTCGAGCCTTTCTTTTACCACGCGATTTTTAAGTGTAAGGCAGATTAGAAAAATATGCATTTAATAAAAATGGTTGTAAAGTTTTTGTTCGCGAAAGGAGTAACGAGGAGTAAGTAATAGTTGTGCGCGCTTATCAGGACGCGAAGACCGAGTCTATATCCGATACTACTATATCCAAACCAATAAAACCATCATCGAAGCTGGTGTAAGCGATGATTATTAATTGAACTAATTTTACGTCACAGCTGTTGCCGGACAACGTGGTCGATCCAATGGAACTTCTCTCGTATCTGGACCCACCGGATCTGAATACGCCGCCAAGCAGTGGCGCGAGTAGCGGAAATCCGCCATCGAACGATGACATACTCGCCCTTTTTGAATAAAGGTTCGGTGCTGCAGAGGTCCGGCTTGGTCAGAGACAAGGCCTCGAAGAAGGAGAGGGAGGCAGAGAGGCAGAGAGAGAGAGAGAGAGAGAGAGAGTGCGAGAGAGAGAGAGAGAGAGAGAGAGAGTGTGAAAGGGCGGACGAGGCTCTTGGAGCGCAACAAAGAGTAGCGGAGCTAAAGTGCGACGCGAATTCTCACACAAGGGCATCACTAATCGTTAAATAGTCTGAAGGTCTCGAGAGCGGCGCGAGCGAGAGTCTTAGTCGACGAAAATTGATTCTTGAATTTTTTCCAAATGTTCCTAATACAAGAAGCGGTATAAATCAATGTTAATGTCAACTCCTGCGTGGGCACGATTTCAAAGTAAGGGAGGAAAATTAAATCGGAGATGAAGATAAAAAATGAAAAAAAAAAAAGAAAGGATTAAATAATGTTGAACGCGCGCCTTCCTAATAAATTGAAGTTATGCAAAGAAAGCAGAACTTTTAAGGATAAATTGTCGGGATGCCGGTTGAAAATGATAAATTAGAAACGAGCAATAAATAAGTGAAAGCTTAGACGGCGAGGGAACGAAAATTTAACTTAAGTAGCCTAAGTTGAATGTTGCCAACTATTTATGGCTCACTGTGTATTATATAAAATGCACGCCACGTGGTACTTCCGACAATTTCATTCCGCATGTAACGAGGGACGTTGTACGCGCTCTAGCGCGACCCCATCAATGGTACAAACGACATTAGCTCTAATTATATAAGATAATAAGATTCCTATTGCGACGAAATAAAATGAAAAAAATAAAATAAAATAAAATAAAATGTGTATAAGAGCCGGCGTTTACGTGCGCTACGGCAACATACATATATTAGAGAACAATAGTAGTCAGTGTCACTGCTTCTATAAATGCAAAGTCTATAATACTATCGAAAGAAAGAAGGTTGGAGGATACAAGGGGAGGGATGGAGAGAGAAATGAGAATTAAAGGGTGTGTTGCTGCATGCGCTATATTTATGGTCGAAGCACGGCATTGGCGAGAGCTTTCGGGGATCATCGAAGTCGTCGTCGATTCTCTTCTCGTACATGAGATTTAGAAGCTTTTGGATACACGGCAATTTGACTAATAATACATAATTATTGCTATGATGAGAAAAAATAAAAAAAATATATATATATAAAAATATAAAAATGAAAAAAATTACAAAAAAAAAAAAAAACAAATAACAATAATAAAATTAAACGATGTACGACATCATAGGAATGCAAAAGATATAGAGAAGTTGGAGTGAATTTTTTTTTTTAACATTTCACGAGAGCCAAGTGATTATAAAATGTTTGATACTTTCTATTCGTCGTTAAGAATTATATATAAATTATAAGAATTACGTTTTTCAGATAAAAATTATGCACAGTGACTTGTTGATTTTCAATGAAAGTCAATGATTTAAAAAAAAAAAAAAAAAAAAAAAAAAAAAAATATAAAAAAAAATTAAAGTCCTGAAAAACGCTGGACGTTTTTACCATGTAAGTTTCTCGAAATTTTTGTGACTGCATTGACAGATATATAAATATATATATATATGACGTGTTGATCGAATTCTAAATTGCGTTCCTTGGCGATGATCGCTCCTTCACGTAAAACGAATAAAAAATTAACGACTTCAAAAGTTTCTTCTCTCACCGTTTCTTGTCTCGGAAGTTTTTCCACGCTGAACGTAAAGTTCGGGAGAACAAATGATCGCTGAAAGCTTAGCCGTTCAGCAACGACAATGCGCATGTGGCTTACATAAAGTAAGTCTATTAGTAAAGAAAAAAGTAAAAAAATAAATATATAAATTAAAAATGCAAAAAACAGAGAATGAGATATGCGACGTGGCACTTCTCGTGCGATGCAGTTTTATAAGCCAAATGAAATAAACGCGTGTTAGCTCATCATTTTAAAATGCATTTTCCATCTGCAAAAAAGAGATATAAGTCGCAAGCTAATAAAGTATAGCATGAGAAGGAAATCGTGTGTATATCTCGTGCGAGTAACCACTGCCACTGTGTCATCGTGAAACCTGACTTACAGTGTTATATCTTTAATGAGAAAAAAAGTTATATACACAAAGACACACGAAAACACGCCACACATGCATACTTACACACAGGTACACATAAACCTGCTTAGCCTAGTTAGATGTGCAGGTTATTAAAGAACAAAATTAATTAAGCTCTAATTTATAAATAAATGATTTAATGAAAAATAAAGAGAATGGAGCGTCTGACGATTAAAACAGATTGATTAATGAAAGACGTATTCGAATTAGCTGATCATTTCACTTTCTCCATATAAAAAAAAAGTCAAAGAAACGCGTAATGATGAGTAAATCGAAGAAGTAAATTGATCGAGCAAAGCCTTTCAAAAGAAAATATATAAAACAACAGGATTGAACTTTTTTTTATTTTTTCATCCTTATTTATTTATTACAACTACTATTATTATCATCATTATTATCATTATTATTATTATTATTATTATTATTATTAATATTATTATTATTATTGTTGTTGTTGTTGTTGTTTTCTTTTTCCTTCATTTTTAAAAATCATAAAGAAGAACAAAAAAATATAACCAATTCTACTCGTCCTGGCGCGTTTCTCTCGAGCTTTTATCGGAGATTTTTAGACATTACGTATATATGCAAATTTTATAAAAGATTGTGTGTACATAAAGACAAAAAAATTATACGTGATAACAATGTCATATACAATGCGAAACCACGAGAAAAGGGATTAATATACGTGTAGATGTATCGTTATAATGATAAAAAAAAAATCCATGCAAAAATACTTATTATAGCAACAGACATGCCTCCGATCAAGTTTCTATTGACGCAAATAGAAGAAATAACGTAAACGATGTTACTTTAGTAACGTGTATCTAGTTTAAGCAAAAATATTGTAAATATTAATTATTTGTACATATGAAGAATTACATAAATAATATTAAAAAAGTGTCAGCTATAAGTTTATCGATCAGAAAAAATTAGTGTTACTGTCCTTACAAATTTTATTTCCGTTTTTTTTATCTAATCGAACGACGTACATACCCATATATATATATATATATATATATATATATATATATATATATATATATATATATACACGCATATGGGTATAGATAGTATAGATAAACGTACACGCATATACATAAAGAAATGGACAAAACGTGCGCGCTCGCGCTCGCGCTCACCATTTATACGCATAAACACGATCCCATTAATACACTCATTATCACACTCGGCTGTGACAGACAGAAGAACAAAATTCCGTGTAACTCTTTTATAGCGACTGTCTTTATAAACATATTAAAAACAAAAAAATTACTGCTCCTTTCAGTCTGTACAGTCACATTAATTTAACGCATTAGAACCTATTTATTAACGTAAAAAGTGAATTCAGGGACATTTACAAAAACCAAATCCTAAATAAATTACATTAGTAAATTATCCTACTCGCAGTACATTATACACTCGTAAATTATACACTCGCAGTACATTATAGAAATGAACTATCTATAAATAAACCCGTAAATTGTATTTACAATGTAGTTATTTACATCAATTCACAAACGAAACCGCCACATTAATATCCTCAATATATAAAATGTCACTGAGCGTTCGGGCATGAATATTATTATTGCACAGTAAACTAGGATCACTTCTTCGCACAGTGTCTGACCAAATGAATCCTTTAATCTTTATTAACAGAGAGAAATTTTCTTATTGTTCCAAGAAGAAGAAGAACGTTAAATCGAATGCTAAGAGAGGACTTTCTTCAAATTAAAATTCTCTTAATTACTAAAGCGATTATTGTTAAATGGAATTATTACTTTCTCATCGCGTAGTATCAATCTTGTTTGAAAGAAAAAAACAATAAACAAATAAACACGTGATTGACTTTCTTTCAAAGCATTATATCGCTAAGGAAATATATATATACTTTTGGCATCGCCTTTAACATTATTCCTCTTTAACCGAACGTATACTTCTCTGAAGATTTTTGAAATCTATTTATTATTATTATTATTATTTTGTTTTTATTTATTTTTTTATTTCTAATTTATCTTTATAATCGATTTACATTATAGTCTTAAATAAAATACTTTTAACCGTAGTTATAATTTTTAGCAAAGCTTTTATTTTTCTCGCAAGTATTTTGATTAAATTTATGATATATTACTCTAATTACTTTACTCTTTTTAATATTATTATTTAGTGAAATAAATAGCTGTCTAGACTCTACTATTTTTTTTTTTTTTTTTTTTTTTTTTTTTTTTTAAAAATTTTTTTTGTGAATAACGCATTTTATCAAACGAATTTCTGAAGAGCTCAAGACATAACTATTTAGGTCTTTGGAAAACATAGGTATATTTTATATCTTTGCTCGTTTCTTTCGTCAGGGTTAGATAAAAATAAATATTTATTTAATTTTCTTATTTCAGTCAAGATTGTAAATGTATTTATCTATTCTATTGTTATTAAATTATTTGAATATACTACTTCTATTGAATGACTGTTTAATTTTATTAAATACCCGTATGATCATGAAAATTTCGCCTCAATCGATTCATTTGATCATATTTAGCTTTTCAGATGAGAAATAATTTTTATATTTTATTAGATGTGCATTAGATGGTATTATATCGTTATAAAAACAGCAAGAAAATATGGAAACAAATTTAACGTAAACGTTACCTTTTTGGGAAACTTTATTAATTATTGAATTTCCGCACCACTTCATTCGCCAGTCATTATTATTTCATCGTAATTGTAAATTATATAATATAAAAATCAATGTGTTACGGAAAATAACTTGAGCAAAATTGCCAAACTAGACCATTGATAATAAATTCTTTTAAATCAGTTATACGAATCTATTATAATGATTTGTACATAGCAAAATTAAAGTTTTATCCACTTTAGTTTTTTTTTTTACTTTTACTTTTATAACAAAATAAGCTTTTTTCATATAACGTAATCTTTATTTTATGATCGTATAAGAGTTATTTAGCTTGGAATTCTCTTGAATATCGACGAACCAATTTAGTGGCGTTCATACAAAAAAATCTTTTAAATTATGCATAAGACAAAAATTTTATTTATCCGATAATAATTTTCCAGAATACAGTATCATCTGTGTTTCAAGATTTTTTCTATTTTACATTCGTTACGATTAGTCACATAAAATTGTATATAACATTTTTCAAACGTAATTTACAAATTATTAAAGGATATGATTACTTCGTATGAAATATTTGCTTAACTAAAAGTATCACAAAATGATAAATTTTTCAATATTCAATAAAACAATACTAAAGTAAATTAAATTAGAATAAAATACAATTAATATTTCTATGACAATTTATGATTTAGTGTTGAAATCAATTTTAAAAAATTATTTTAATTTTAAATAAATTATAATAATAATTTGCTTCGTTTCAATTGACTTCGTTCCCTTAATAAAAATTTACAATAAATATTTTCAAGTGGTAATCGTGAATAAGGTACCACTAACATTCTTCTAATACTTATTGTTAAGGTTAAACAGCAATATTTGCTCTTATACTTTTGTAAGTGAAAAAAAAAAATCCCATTTTTATAATGCACCAATACTACTTGAGAGTGCATATAACAAATTATAGTAATAAATTACCGTTTAATAATAAGTCATTTGCTATTAATATTATCGTAATCATAAGCCAAAATTAATAGAAATATCTACAAAATACTTTTTTGTATTGTGTTGAATTTCGAATAATTTATTTCAAACAACTGTAAGAAATAATTACTCATTTACTTTTTAATAATAAATTTCATTTTAGTTGTATAGTTTTAAGTACTTTTCAAAATATGAAACGACCACTTCAGAGAGAGAGAGAGAGAGAGAGAGAGTGAAATTAATTGTTAAATAAATTCTATATATTTATATTATTTTGAAATTTTCTTTTATTAATTATTATTATATTCATCTCGTTCAATGATTTTGTTATTGTACCATTTGATGATTACATAGGTATCGGTAAAAGCAATTTCTATTCTAATATTGTTTTCCTAACCTAACATTTTTCCCATTCGTAATGCAACTGACATATTTAATACTTAAGTTTAAAAAATAAAATTTTATTCTAATTACAAGCATTAAGTGACAAAGGATTAGCAAATAAAGTGTATTATAAAACATTATTGATAAAAATCATGTTTGGGAAAGAAGCCATAAAACTAATTCACGAATTAGATCAATGCGAAGAAATAAAGCCATTTAACGTGAGTGCTTACTTGTTTACATTATTGAATTATTTATACTGGAACCTGCAATTCTTACATTATAATATAACCTTAGGAAGCAATATTTCAGCAAGTTTTGGAGGAAATCAATTCTCTCTATGAGCAAAATTCTAAAGATGTGTAGGTATTGACACAAATTTTTCTAACGTTATGAAAATATGTTTTTGAATTTTTTAACGAATTTACAATTTAGGAGTACGATTACTGAAACAAATACAGCACCTAGGAATTCGGTAATCGTTAGACACTTTGCCATGAATAGAAATAAGCGCTGTTTGTTGACATATCTTTATCATAGATTAAGAAGATTGAGGCAAATAAGATGGGAATTGGGTAGTATTTTACCATCTGAAATAACAGCTAATTTAGTAAGCGCCGAATCCCATTGGTTCCAAGCATACAGTAAATCCCTCGCTACGTATATGAGATCGATTGGAGAGGACGGACTAAATATTATGAATGATGTACATCCACCAAAATCCTTATATATTGAAGTAGATATTTTTAATCATATTCAGTAAATGAGACAAATATCAATATACCATTAATTTTCTGTATAATCTTATTACAAATAGGTACGATGCGTACAAGATTATGGCAAATTTGAGTTTGACGATGGTCAGATTGTTAATCTAAAAGAGAATACCTATCATTTATTACCGAGATCACAATGCGAAGCACTGATTCGACAAGGAGTTCTCGAGCATGTTTCTTCATAAAGGAACATAATCATTATTATATATAAAGTGCTTTATACAATTATTCAAATATTTTTGTATAGAGTTTATATAAAGATTTTTAATATTGTATTTATTCTTTTCTATTATGCTTAGTCTTAAAATTGCAAGCTTTTTCTAATATATAGTAAAATAGCTTTATTCAATAAATATATGAAGATACATTCAAACTCTAATTGTATAAAGCAGAGGAAATGTGTTGTATTTTGTAATAGAGATGAAAATATGTAAATTACAATGTTAAGACATTCTATTATGTTATTGCTAATTTCTTATATACAAGATATTGAAAATAATGACAAGTATTAATAGAAGCATATGTATATAAATTTTTTAATCGGATTAATCGAAATTATGAATGAAACTATTTTTAAAGTTTGAATTTTAATATATATTTTTCGTAATACTTTTGTGTGTCTTATATTACCTTTTATATTAATACTTATTAAACAATTATATTTACATTAAATAGTAAATAAAATCATCCATTATGATTATTAAGATGACATAAGATTACTATGCTTCTCGTACTCTTTCATCATCGTGATATAAGCCAATTGAACGCGCTCGCGAGCTCAAAATTATAAATGATTGTTTACCCTCAGCTTAATATATAAAGACTTGAGAATATTTTACACAGTTTATTATAGAATTGAATTATATAGATCGAGAATTACACCATAAATAATTCTTATTGACTTATGTTTTATGCAAGTAGAATCATAGATAAGCGGTAATTGAAAAATTATCGACATGAAATTGTCGATTTCGCGAACAAAAAAATGTCAATGATCTAATACGTTTCCGTTAAATTCACTATTAATTACGGATTTTATTTAAATTATTCATGTCTCTTGTTTTTCAGATTACTCGATTCAATTCAATTTACGGTTATTAATTAAAAATCATCGTTACAATTTTACGTACAATTGAAATTATAACTCAAAAGGAACTTTCCAAACCGATAAAGGATACAAACAATAATGTTGACTTTAGCCTCACCGACAATTACTCATAAAACTATTATATATTTAACTCTACTTGACTCCACCGAGATTCTATTTCTGACAATTATAATCTAACAAGACTTGTTGATAAAGTATCCGTTTATAAAAATTTGAAAGAATTTAAAGAGTATTTATTATAATAAAAATCTTGATAATTTCTTTTATATCAAATAAGGATGAAAATATGTCCGTATGAATATTTATTCAATTGTTTGTTTTTTTTTTTTTTTTTTAAATTATAATTGTATTAAATAGTATGAAACTATTTACTGCATTTTAAGTAAATTTCAGAAAAAATACTAAAAAATAGCATGAAGAAATGAATGTCCAATATATTTCATTGTTGAATAATTAATATTTATTGGCACAATGTAATACAAACATGAAAATTGCAATAATAATTTTGAGTAATGACATAATAATTATTTTTATATTCAATTTTATACATTAAAATAGACATAAATTGTTTATGAGTTATTTTAAAGCTGTTATTTTTCGTATCATAAATGGTAATTTATAAAGAGCAAGTTATCCTAATGTAAGTACAAATCAGCCAAAAATTGTTTCAACATTTGTTGTTTATGAATTACTATTCTATTAGTATTGTATGTGAAGAAAAATTATACAATTTATATTTCTAATAATGTTAAGTCCTTCATCAAATCTACGTTCAATCAGCATTTGAATTGAATTTGTTTATAGAAAAATTGCTGATTGAATCCAAATATTTAGAACAGCGGCAATAAAATGGCAAATTAAATGAAATTTAACCGTAATGTTATTGTATTTGTATTTATGAAGATAAGTGGAAAATGATAATATCAATTTATTTGAAATTATTTGCTACTGTATTTAATTTTGAAATTCAATTCTGACTAATTTGACAATTTAAAATAGACGTTGTAATGATAATTTGAAGATATTAAAAAAACCTATAAAAATTAATTGTGATAAAACTTATTTTTTAAATATATATTTCAATTTTTTGCTATGGAAAATTTAAAATAGATAAATTAATATTATGAATTATTGACGTTAAAATGATAAAAGAGGTAGATCGTTAATATCTTCTAATTTCTTCTTTTTATTTTAACAACCTCACATAATTATTAAACTGTAGAGAACATATTGATATTAATTGATTTTGATGATTGTAATTAAAAAAAAAAAAAAAAAAAAAAAAAAAAAAAAAATGTATAGTAATAAACATTGGAGAATTTTCCAAATTAAAAGATCTAATCGTCGTGTACACAAAAGTATGTAACAGTATAAAAAAAATTTGCGTTCGATTTAGAAATAAAACTAGTCGTGAAATATTTAAAAAGCTGACTTAGAATAAAGCATAAAGATCAATTTCCATCTTGGATTTTCCATTTGTTCACATATCTAAAAATAATTTTAAGTGAAATCCAAGTTTGGGTTAATCCCCAGTGTGAACATGACTCTACAGTTGTATTTTCTTGACCTACAAAGTCTTTTGTCAAAAAAAGAAACGTGCAAAAACTTAATATTTATCCAAGCGATTCCTTAATTTCACGCTGTGATAAATTTAATGATCTACGTGAGCGTGTGTCTACGTGCGTAACGACGACGTTAGCATTGTTTATTTTGGAAATTTTACGATCCTTAAAACTAAATAATTCATCTTGGACTATTTACATATAACATACACCTCACATTTGCACGAAGAATTCAATTATCCATGTATTTTTATTTTGTTTTGTTTATGTGTAATTCTCGTGAATTGTACGAGCGAAGCAAAACGGTTTTTCATTAAAATTAATTCTTCGAACTAAGCTGCAAAAGTACTAATGATTTATCAAATTACTATAAGGCTAATGATATATAAGCATTAAAACTTTATTCTTACTGACTCCGATGCAGGTACATTTGAAATGCCCAGCAATATTGGCAATTTCACTGTGACTGCGGTCACAATACGTGATGAGACATTTGCTTATTGGCCATTATTTTCTTAAAGATTCATGAACTATGAGAAGGCATTGGCGTTCTCGTATTTTTCATTGAAAAAGCTACATTTTAACGATTAAAATCATTGTCATTAATTTCAATTTTCATTAACATTCGCGTCTTTAATTATTAATCTGATTTTAACTCATTATTTATTTGCAAATTATGATTTCTACATAAGTCTTGTAATTTTTATCTCATATTAAATTAGATATATAATTGTATATTTGCAGCTTGCGATGGCGATTGAATAGGAGAGTAAATGAAAAATGATAAATGAAAAAGTTTATCCAATTTTTTATTGTTTTATAATTACGAGTTTGCGTAAAGGAAAATTGCCGGCACAATATCGTTTATTCCCTTGGGATATTATGCTTATCTGCAATAATTCCGCACAGCTGTGCAAACTAGGAAAAACAAAAAGCAACATGCAACGATTGTCTTTGTTTTTCATTAATGTAACGTTGTTGTGATATTATTTCCTATGATTGTGTATCTTGTTTCTTGGAAAGCGTTATTATTATTAATTTAAACATACGAATGAAATTTTAGATCATTTGTGTACTTTCAAAAAAATTTCTTAACTAATCGGGGCTAAGCTAAGCGAGAAACGACTGTAGACGTGAAAGTACTTTCTAATGCATGTACGACAAGAATTTTAACTAAATAATGTGCGATGGTTCGTGGTCTTCGTTTAAAATCTTTATCACATCAATAATATATCATTCTTATTTAATGTTTGAAAAGTCACCAAATCAAAATTTTATAATTTATTTTTAATTCACATATTTGTAGGAAGTTTTCCTATCGTGATCACATAATAAATGCTTAAAAGCCTCGATTAGCACGCTCATCGTGATCATTGTTATTTTTTTAATCGATTATCAAGAAAGTCAAGATTTTTAAGAAATCACGTACGCCGCGTGAAAAAAAAGAAGAAAAGTAGATTACGAAATTTAGAATTCATTATCGGTTATTAAAATAGCGAAAATATTATTAATGAGATATCGAATGTAGTTTATTTTGAAAAATATGGTAATAAAAATTGCGTATATAATATTATTTGTCTTCCATATCTATTAAAATTAGTTACATACATATATATATATATATATATATATATATATATATATATATATATATATATATATATCTAAATCTAATTCAAATGAAAAAATTTTTTTGATAAAATCGTACTAAAAAATATTTACGGCTTTAATACATACGTAACATATGCATGTCTACACACTCGTAAAAGAATCTGAAAATTATAATGTGAAACTCCAGAATAGTAAATCGATAAAAGATTAAACTATATTTAAGGAAAAATATGGGAGATTGTATGTATTAATGATTAGATTTGAATCTTTGGAGTCGGCAGAGGCCGTGGTTACCAGCACAGCGAGGAATGAGCAAATTTGTAAATTAATATGATATTATTTAAGATTATAAATTATTAATATCAATATCGGAGATTCGGCTTGGTGACAAATTCCATAGCTCGGCAGCTGAGGTGAGAAAATATTATGGAAAAGCTCGAGTTCTTTCTCACTGCTCCTGAATTATTTATTCGACAAATATACAATGGTAATGTAATGTAATGTTATGTAATAGATTGTAATAGAATTCTCAAAGACCAAATAAATAGCAACGAGTGGTTGTGGCGCGTGTTCGTGAGTAACCGGACTGCGGGGGTGTGGAGTAATGTAAGGGGTTATGCCCGTCACCTCTCTTAGCATTTCCCGTTGATCCTAGCTGAATGCTGCTCCGGGTGCTACGTCTAGTAGCATCTTGCACTTGGTCTGCCGTTATATGGTAAATTTCTTACGGAGCTCCAGTTCCATTCTCCTCGTGGCTCGATGGGCATTGTTTACCATTGTTTGAGGACTTGGTGGGCGATTTGCGACACGCGTTTGCTCGAGCTCTCGTCGTGCAGCACGAGGAAGAAAACGACGAAGGGGTTGCGGGAGCCCGGGTTATCGGAACATGGGGGGCGTGGAGCTTGGCTTGTGGCAGACGGGGGGCGGATTGGTGGGGGCCGCCGGCGCCGGG